TTGCCTTTCTTGGGGGTATAGCCCAATCCCTCTTTATAGAGAGAAGCTCTTTGGCTACCCAAACACATAAGCAAGCGGTCCTCACCACCATAGGCCTTAGCCAAGGTGTGAGTGAGCTCATTGACCTCCTTCTTAAGGGTCTCATTCTCAACCATTAGTGAGACATCACAAGTGAAACCATCACTACTAGATGAGGTGGAAGTAGAAGTGCTACAAGAAGGGTTAATGGGAGCAACAATGATAGACATAGATAATGATTCATCAATTAGGTCACAAGTTAAGTCTATATTGCAAGTCTCAACATGCTTCTTCTTATTTTGCTCATTAAGCAAAGAGGAATGAGCCTTTTCAAGCTTCTTGTGAACCTTGCCAAGCTTCTCATGGGCTTCCTCTAGCCTCTCACGAGATGCTTTGAGCTCATCAAAGGCTTGCTTAAGGTCTTTTAGTTCCTTGCACAAGCTTTTGCATTCCCTTCTCTTAATGTCAAAATGTTCTTTAGCATCATCTAGCATGTCAAGTAGTTCATCCTTAGTTGGTTTATCATCATCACTATCACTTTCATTTTCATTATCATGTTCCTCATCACTTCTATCATCACAAATTTGTACCTTAGTGGCTTTAGCCATAAAGCATGATGGAGTATCGAAGAGGGAAGGCTTCTCATTGATAGCAATACTTGCAAGTGCCTTCTTCTTGGTGGTCTTGTCATCATCACTATCATCATCATCACTTGAGGAAGCATCACTATCCCAAGTGACCACATATGAACCACCCTTCTTCTTATTCTTGAAGGTCATTTTGTCCTTCTTCTCTTTCTTTGCCTTCTTGTCCTTCTTCTTGTTCTCCTTGTTGTCATAACCATTGTCGCTATTGTATGGGCATTGAGCAACAAGATGATCCTTGCTTCCACAATTGAAGCACCTTCTTGACTCTTCCTTGTTCTTGGATGAAGATTTCTTTCTTCTAGCACGGTAGCCTTTCTTCACCATGAACTTGCCAAATCTCTTGACAAAGAGAGCCATCTTCACATCGTCATTATCATCCCATGAACTATCATCTTCACTTGATGTGTCTTGCTTTGCCTTGCCCTTGGATGATGTGGCCTTGAATGCCACACTCTTCTTCTTGTCATCCTTTTTCTCATCTTTCTTCTCCTTTTCTTCCTTCTCATTATCATCTCTATTTGTGTCATCGGTCATTATATCTCCCAACACTTGGTTTGGTGTCATAGTGTCCAAACCACTCCTTACTAGAATAGTGACCAATGTGCCAAATTTAGAAGGTAAGCATCTCAAAAACTTGTGGGAGAAGTCCTTGTCCTTCACCTCTCCTCCAAGTGCTTTGAGATCATTGACAGGCACTTAAAGCCGATAGAACATCTCCGGCACACTCTTATCCTCCTTCATCTTGAAGCTTGCAAACTTCTCTTTGAGAATGTATGCTTTTGCACCCTTCACAGCTTGAGTGCCCTCAAATGATTCCTCCAACTTCTTCCATGCCTCATGAGCTCTCTCAATGTTCTTGATTTGCTCTAATGTTCTCTCATCCAAAGCATCATGAATGGCACTAAGAGCAATGTTATTATTTTGGAGAAGCATTTCTTCGGCGGCGGTGGGAGCCTCTTCATCATCAATCTCAATCTTAGTCTCCATCACCATCCAAACCTTCCTATTTATTGACTTGATATAAGTTGTCATCTTAGCCTTCCAATAGGGATAGTTTGAGCCATCAAATTGGGGTGGCTTCTTGGTGTTGTTGATTTGAGCCATTTTTACACCGAAGGTTGTTAAGCCTCAAATCACGGTGACCTCTACTTCGATACCACTTGAAAGGTTCTAATGGCTAGAGGGGGGTGAATAGCCTATTAAAAATTTTTACAACAACACTTACCAAACTGGTTAGATAAATATGAGGCGAAGCGAGTGTTGCGTTAGCCTACTAAAAATACAAGCCACCTACCACAAGTCTAGTTTTTAGTATCTTTATCCACACAATGGCTATGTCACTACACTAAGTTAGTGTCCTCTCAAAGGCTAACTAAAGAGCCACACTAACCAAACTAACAAGCTCTCACGACTAGCTACACTAAAGAGCTTGACAACAAGTTTGCGGTAATATAAAGAGAGAGAGCGAGATGGTTATACCGTCGAGTCAAGGAATGAACCAATCAATCACAAGAATGAATACCAATCACCTCGGAATCAAATAATGACATAATGATTTTTTACCGAGGTTCACTTGCTTGTTGGCAAGCTACTCTTCGTTGTGGCGATTCACTCACTTGGAGGTTCACGCGCTAATTGGCATCACACGCCAAAACCCTCAATAGGGTGCCGCACAACCAACACAAGATGAGGATCACAGAAGCCATGAGCAATTTACTAGAGTACCTTTTGGCTCTCCACCGAGAAAAGGTCAAGAACCCCTCACAATCACCATAATCAGAGCCGGAGACAATCACCCACCACCGCTTGACGATCCTCGCTGCTCCAAGCCGTCTAGGTGGTGGCAACCACCAAGAGTAACAAGTGAATCCTGCAGCGAAACACAAACACCAAGTGCCTCTAGATGAAAACACTCAAGCAGTGCACTTGGATTCACTCCCAATCTCACAAAGATGATGAATCAATGATGGAGATGAGTGGGAGGGCTTTGGCTAAACTCACAAGGTTGCTATGCAAATGGCCAAGAGAGTGAGCTAGAGCCGGCCATGGGGCTTAAATAAATGCCCCCACGAAATAGAGCCATTGGCTCCACAGTCCACTGAAAATCGGGGAGACCGGACACGCCGGTCAGATCGACTGGAAGTAGGACCCCAGCGTCCAGTCACGCGATGCACGTCATGTGGCCCCTGCTTCAAATACTGATCGTCCGATCTCAACGGTCATCAGTGCACTTAAGTTGTGACCGGACGCTCTACAGTGTAGGACTGGACATAGGACCTCAGCGTTCGGTCACTTCCAGTAAGGTTCCAGTCACGACCGGACGCAGGACCACAATGTCCGGTCACTTCTAGTAAGCTTCCAGAGGTGGAAATTCACGACCAGACGCATCTGGTCAAGCCCGACAGGACACACCCAGTGTTCGGTCACTCACGGTCTTCTCTATGCGCTGTCACATCAGCAGAACCAGATGCTGAACAGTGTTCAGCCAGAGTCCAGTCGCCTGTGTCCAGTCAAGAGACCAAGGGCGGCCTTCACTGTGCACCATTGATCGGACATAGGACCCAGCGTCCGGTCACTGCGTGGCTAGCGTCCGATGCACTCTATGAAACCCTGTCTTTTCTGTATAGGGCGTCGGTGGCACCGTCGGACTGTCCGCACACTCCGCCGTTGGAGATTCGAACCCTTGCTCCCAAGTGCTAAACACAATGTGTATCACCTTTGTGCATGTGTGTTAGCATATTTTCACAAATATTTTCAAGGGTGTTAGCACTCCACTAGATCCTAAATGCATATGCAATGAGTTAGAACATCTAGTGGCACTTTGATAACCGCATTTCAATACGAGTTTCACCCCTCTTAATAGTACGGCTATCGATCCTAAATGTGATCCCACTCGCTAAGTGTCTCGATCACTAAACAGAAAAGCTCCTATCAATTTTACCTTTGCCTTAGTGCTTTTTGTTTTTCTTTCTTCTTCTCCAAGTCCAAGCACTTGATCATCACCATGCCATCACCATGATCATGTCATGATCTTCATTTGATTCACCACTTGGAGTAGTGCTACCTATCTCATAATCACTTTGATAAACTAGGTTAGCACTTAGGGTTTCATCAATTCACCAAAACCAAACTAGAGCTTTCAATCTCCGCCAGCCACTGGTGCCATGCAGCATCCGATCTACTTTTGAAATATCCAGATGAAACATATGCGACATACGTTTGAAGACAGATAAAACACTTGAAACATGCATTTGAAACATGCGTGTTAGCTATTACAACATGTGCAACACCAGATCAACTTTTAAAACATCTAGATAAAAGATTTGAATCAAACGTCTAAAACATATGAAACATAGGCTTGCAACATACGTATATTGCCTTTGCAATATATGCAACATCCCATATCGACTTTTGCAAGATTCAGATTAAACATTTGAAACATAAGTCCGAAACGACTGAAACATTTGAAACATGGCGTCGCTGGTGGCCAAGGTCTACCTGATGGGGGACTGCGGTAGCCAGCAAGCTCGGGTCCATGGGGAACGTCGAGAGCAAACGGCTCAGCGTGCGCAGGCTTCCTCTTCCTGTCGCGGTGTCTTCGGCCGGCCGCGGAACATGAAGTCCGGACCTACGGCGACCTCCTCCTGGTGGCGCCGGGGTAATGGTGGCGCGGTGCGGCCGGCGATGGGGTGCGGCGTGGTAGGGGAAAGGGCACGGCGTGCGAGGGGGACAGGCACGCGGTGGGGAATAGGGCGCGATGGGACGGAGTGTGGCCAGCTGATGAGCGGCCACGCGCGCACGCCGAGACGAGTGGATAAGCGCAGTGGATTTTTTTTAGAGAGAGAGCAGATGAGTGGAGGAGCCGTGTCCGGACAGAACACACGCCTATGGCCAAGCATTATCATTTTTTTAATCTATGAAATCTCGCTTCGGGTCATAAAAGAAGTAAAATGTGTAACTTAGCTATACTCGTGGCTTGAGGCCCGTGTGTACACAATGCCTGCTGGCACGACGAAAAAGTTTAGGGAAGTCGTAAGGAGTTGCGTGTTAGATCTAGCTTTCACAAGAGGAGCTGTTTATCAAGATGTGTTTTCGAACCACACCGTGCCACTTGTACTTATTTAATTTGAGCCAACACTTAGCTGATGATCCCTATATGATGTATACTACTACTCGTCGTACACAAGAAGGTCCCCAATCTCTTCCCAAGGTTAATCCATCCCTATACACAATTACACATTGAACTTGTCAATACAAATCCCGGCCCTTGCCAAAGTTTCAGCAGCCATTGCCAGAGTTCAATGAGCTTGGCGCACTACCTAGATGCCTAGAGAGATGGGAGCGTACCAGTACCGGCCTCTGGATCCCCATAGCCATAAGCCGTCGTCGTCGTCGAGCAAAAACCCTGTCTGTTTCCTGTCCAAACCCGTCTGCGCTTGGCTCGCCTGCGGCTTCCTCTCGTTGGCTCTCCTCCACCTCCTCTGCTGCAGCCCCGCCGGCAATCAACGAGCGGCGTTCGTCTCTCCTCTGCTCAACTACATCAACAACACCTACTCCTTCGTCTCATCTGTGCCTGAAGGAGCAAAGAAGAGCTGCAACTACTCGGAGGGGCAGTGGGTGCGGGCGCCGGGGCACGCGCGCCGGTACAACGCCACCCAGTGCGACGTGAAGGAGAGCCACGACTGCATCCGCAACGGGCGGCCCGACACGGGGTACCTCGAATGGCGGTGGCAGCCGGCGGGGCCGCCGTCGTGCGCGCTGCCGGAGTTCGACGCCGGGGCGTTCCTCTCGGCGACGCGCGGCAAGCACGTGGCCTTCATCGGGGACTCCATGGCGCGGAACCAGGCGCAGTCCCTGGTCTGCCTCCTGAGCGCCGCGTTCCCGAGCCGGCTCCTGCACCGCGACGAGGGCTACCATCAGAAGCACAACTTCTGGCGGTACGCGTTCCCGGCGCACGACGTGAGGGTGTCCTTCTACTGGAACCCGTTCCTCGTCAGGGCCACGGGCAAGGCCGAGGACGAGAGCGTCCCCTACAACCACGTGCACCTCGACCAGCCCGGCGACCGGTGGGGCGCTGACGCCGACACGATCGACGTCGCCGTGCTCGCCGCCGGCCACTGGCTGCTGAACGGCGCCATCTACTACAACGGCAGCGAGGTGATTGGCGCGCACAACGCCCCCGCGGAGATGAATTACACCGGCATTGGCTACGCGTGGCCGCTCAAGATGGTGTACCGGACGGCCGTGGAGCGGCTGAGCTCCGCTGGCGGCGGCCGTCCCCGGACCTTGGTGCTAGCCACGTTCTCGCCGGCGCACTTCGACGGCAGCCCGACCGACAGCCCCACGGCGTGCACGAAGATGGAGCCATACAAGGAAGGGGAGAAGGAGGTGGATTGGGTCTGCAAGGAGGTCAGGGACATCGTGTACGGTGAAGCGGAGGCCGCCAGGGCGAGGAGCGGCGCGGCGACAAGGATCGAGGTGCTGGACGTGACGAAGCTGGCGACGATGCGGCCAGACGGGCACCCCGGCGTGTACATGAATCGCGACCCGTTCAAGCACGGCGTGCCGGATAAGATTTACTCCGACTGCCTCCATTTCTGCCTGCCCGGGCCTGTCGACACCTTCAACGAGATATTACTGCAGATCCTGAGGAACAGGCGGTGAAAACCAAGCTAACACCCTCTGTTATTCTGCGACGCTTTGTATAATTTGTATTTGGGAAGAAGCTCTCCAAGAAATCAAGCTAAACCGTGACCTTAGCTTATTATAGGAGGATATGTACGTTGAGTAGTGATTTTGTTTCTATAATTTCTCGGGACACAAATTGATGTGCTTGGGGAATTAGCTGCACAGTCTGAAGCTCTGAATACCCTATACGCGAATATCTCTATCATTGAAGACTGAGCTTGCAACGGATTCCAGTAAAATAACCACCTTCTACTCTAATCTTTGCAGGACACCACTTAGACCCGGTATGTACTTTAAGGGTGCTTTTGATCTGTAGTACCTCCTTAATTTCTTTGATTTTTCACACAGATTAGTGGAGAAGGGAAATGTTCTTAATATCCTTGTTAGTTGCAGATTCCCTTAAAAAAGATGTCGCGCTTTACTTGCCTAATTAACATGCGCTGCATGGAAGCACGCAGACTTCCTGTGGGCCAAAAGGTGTTTAAAGCTTAGAACATCATTTTTTTTGACAAATTTCAAATCACAGAATATCACTTTTTTTGGACGGAGGGAATACTGAAGAAAGGATTCCAAGAATGAAAAACGGTGAGACAGTAGGCAATTTCAAGATTAAAATCAAAATATAAATCATGACGATCTCCGATACTATTTCCTCCATCCAGAAACATAAGGAATCGAGAGTTCAAAATTCGTACCAAATTATAATAGATTCTAGGTGAACAAACACTCTAAAAAGCAACATTCACATGCATAACTACCATTTATGTCTACCACCAACCCAAATATGATAATTAAAAAGGGGTTATATGCGTATATGTCCTAAAATTACTTGATAGCGTATATTTGAGGACAAAGGGCGTAGCATGTAAAAAGCCCTCATATATTAGTTGAACCAACCAGCATGAACAATAACATGAAGAGTAGCTGTCGGGTTCATAAATCCGGGGTCCCTCGCGAACCGGCTTCCCCGCAAAAGGCTCGGCCCAAGCAGACAGCGCGCAACTCATGGGCTGGCCCAAGTATCTAAACAGCAGGCCAGAAGGGCGATCCAATCACCGACCGGAAGGTCTGGCCGAGGAGGAGCAGCGCCCGTTTGCCAACTCTGGCCCAACTCTCCGACCAGAACGCTCGCTTCGATCTCAAGCCCGCCACCGAACGGCCTCTCAGACCGGAAGGCCTGGCCAAAAGCACCACTTTCGACTCCGACCCACGCTCTCCGACCGAGGATACGCTAAGCCCCTGCTCACTGCTCTTCTCCGACTGGCGCGATTAGAGCCGACTGGGACCAACCGACCGGGGACGCCCGCTCGGTAAAGACTAGGAAACGTCCGAAGAAAGTAAGGCAGGGCGCACAAGTCAAAGCCACAATACAGGGACCATACCCTGCGCACCTGCCAGGCAGTACCCTGCGATCATCCCTGGCACAACAGAGCCCAAAAAGTGTTGTAGGCGTCGACCTTTTCCCTACAGTATTGTGAGCGCCATTAACTCCCATACAGTAAGGCACCCCCACATGCCTCTGGGCATCGGCAGTGTTATGGGCGCCGGCATTTACCGTACCGAGTGAACATGGTGGAACTCCTCACATGCCTCTGGGCATCAACAGTATAGCAGGTACCGACATCTGCCATACCCGTAGTAACCTCCCACGTGCATCTGACACTCAACAGTGTTGTGGGCGCCTACAAACATCCAGTTCCCGTCGGCGTGAGTAACAAGGCTTAGAAGCATACGTGCTCTCTCCCTCTCACTTGTAAGGCCACCCCCTTCTTCTATAAAAGGGGGTGCGCTCTCTCCCGAAAGATTAAGTCATTCCAGATTTATTAGATCGATCAAGTTCACTAGTACATAACCACACAACCGCCAGGTTCGAACCACAAGCACACGCTTGAACACTTAGCTCATAGCGGGGCTCCTAACGCTTTCGGTTCCTCTGTCCAGAGTTCGACCGGACCTCTTGTACCTCCCATCTTTCTCCTTCTCGTTTGTAACCCCACTGCAAACTTCGAGCACCTGGGCTCAGGAATAAAGTCACCGACCGACTCAAACTGGACGTAGGGCACGTTGCCTGAACCAGTATAAACCCTATGTCATTGAGTGCTAGGCCACCTCCGATCACAACATACGACAAAACTACAAATATTTACTTGTTGGTCACTTTCTGCACCGACAGTTGGCGCCATCCGTGGGGAAGACGTTGTACGTTCAACACTTTTTGGTCATCGGATGGCCCACTTTTCCGCCACCTTCACCATGGCGGGCTCAGGCGATACGATTCGCTTCGGCACACTGGAGTTTCCCGCACTCCCACGTGTTGGGATGTGGGTTCCACCCATCTTCAAGCCATCCAGGCCTTCCTCCTTGGAAGCCTAGACTTCATCACCGACTGGCTCAGCGTACTACACCTCCATGAGGAGACACCCGTTCCGGCGCTCGTCGAAGGGGCACCCTCCATCGGCTCCGGGACGCACGCCGACTTCAACGATGCGGCATCTGCGCTTCATTCCGAGCAAATTCTCTGCTCAAACCCCGCTATGAGTAATATGCATACTGTTATTTACTCTATGTTTACTATCTCCCACCGATCATCCGGAGGGACCGTGTTGACCGCACCACAAACACCGTACGATCGGTTCCCCTATGGCCTCGCATCCCCCGTAGACGCATACGCTCGGGGGCTCCGAAGGATGCTGGCGCCATCCCCCCTCACATCTGAGTTCATGGGAATGGCGAGCTATGCTCCTACCTCTTTCCACGAACTCCTGGACGACGAGGGTGAGAGCGATGGCTCCAGCATCGGCGATGTGGCACCTCGCCATCGCACGTCTCGGGAGTGCGCTATGGCGGACCCTCCGGGACAGCCACCGGTGGTTGTGGAGTCTGTGCAGACTCACACCCCTCTGGACCCGCGTGTGGCGGCCCTCGTGTCTACGCAAGAACATGCCGAGGAATTACGACAACGACGGCAGAACCAGCCGCCGCCTGCGCCGGCGCGCTCGATGCAGCACGTTGCGCCCCATGCGCATAACCCGGCGGGCGGCGCCCACATGACATCATGAACGAGGGGGACGATCTCCCATAGTTCGCTTGGGCTAACCAGAACATCGCTACTGCAGCAATGCTTATGCGTGGCATTCCCGAGCCCGTCGACCCCTAGGAGCGGGCGGCCTACCGGAACCTCCGGGTTCTGGTAGAAGCCGCCGCCGTTCAACAGGCAGAAAGCTCCGCATCACGACTCCAACACACACCCTCTCTCCCAATAGGGGGAGCGGGGACGCGCCAGATGGATCGCTCCATCCGCTCACCGCTACAGCCGTCAGGTGAGGCTAGGGAGGCCACAGCCGCGTCGCGGTCCGACCTGGCGCCTGCCCCACACCAACCGCCGGTACACGAACGGACCGGTCCACACCAGGACGCTCGCAGCATCATCAGCAACTACCATCAGGTCCGGCATGATGATGACGCCCACCGGGTGGTGGTAAGAGCAGGCAGCACAGATCCCGGCCGAACCATCGAGGGGAGCGGTGAAACGCGCCCCAGGCATGGTTGCCGGCCAGACGACCGGAGTCCCAGCCCCGAGGGCCTAGGACCATGGGCCTTTGACCGGCGTATCCGGAGAGCGCCGTTCCCACAGCGCTTCCGACCGCCTACCAACATCACCAAGTACACCAGGGAGACAAACCCTGGTATTTGTCTCGAAGACTTCCGGCTCGCCTGTTGGGCTAGAGGAGTGGATGATGACTATTTCATCATTCAGTATCTTCCCATCTGCGTGAGGAGTAGATATGAATTTTGTAAGTTTGCTACAAAATATGGAAAAACAATTAAAGAAAAATGTCAAAAACCCGTTTAATGCTAAGCAGACCCGGTGCACTACACCCAGAGGCACTGACGGCTGGGTCCCACGGTCAGCGTGACCCCACCCGTCATAGGCACAGAAGCAGGGAAGGCATTTGACAGGCCATAGTTCGCCGACGGTGCGGTCACCCCCAATGGCTTTCCCTCCTTATCCCACATCCAATGGTGTAGGTGGTTGAACCTATTATAGCCTCTAGCTAGGGCAGCGGCGCTCATGGCGGCTCGGTGACACTGCACGGTGGCGCTCCGGCCATGGCAAGCTTAGACGAGCTCGGCTATGGCTTTAGGGTGACCTAGCGGAGATCTAGGGTTAGGATTTAGGCTCGCGGTGGCACCAGTGAGGCACGGCCGCGTGCATGGCGGCGGCACGGCGTGAACACGATGGCGGCGTTGCGGCGCTCCGATGAGCTGGGTGACGGCATTGCTCAACCAAGCCTCGTTCCAGTTTCCCCATCCTATGGCTAAGCGCTAACGCCTAGAAGCAAGAGGGGAAGAGGACTAGTCGAGTGTGGCCACGGTGGGCTCAAAGCTCAGCGGTGGCAATGGTGGCCATGGTGACGGCGCACTAGCTCTAATGTGCTCACCTGGGCTCAAACGGTTATGCTAATAGGTCGAGAAGGTGGCGGGTGATACGTTAGTGCAGTGAGCGCGGTGAATCGGCAGTTATGGCTGTGGTGGCCGGCTTGACTATGGCGGCGCTGCTGCGGCTGCTCTACGTTGGGAGCGAGAGAGAGCAGCGAGAGTGAGCTAGGAGAGAGGGAGAGCGAGAGTGAGCACGTGAGGGAGCGAGCGCCTGGCCTTCGGCTCCTTTGGCACGGTAGCGGGGGCCCGACACCGGCGTACGGCCGCCACGTGGCGCGCGTGGCCTGACATGGTCGGCCACTGCCGCGGCCGATTTGAATCGGCAAGGGCTGATTCAGGCCTGACGAAGCCGACTGAAACCCGATTTTACCTCCATTCTATCTCCTAATCCGTGCAGTGTTTTGGTAAACCAATTTCACCATTGTGTAGAGCTACAAGAGTACTACAAGTTTGCTTAAAGAAGTTTTGTCTAATTCCCAATGGTTTTCAAAATAGAATGCTCCAAAGTTGGCTACATGAAAACTGAAAATCAGTTTAGGACTTAGCCAAATTTTTGTTTTAAAAAACAGGATTGAGTTGATTTTTGTGAGCCCTATTTGACTAAGCTAGGCACTGATTCGGCTCTTGACCATAAAACAAAGTTTGTTCTACAGGAGCTAAACTACAACTTCTATTTAGGTTCCACTGCCATGCAGCCCTCTAAGTAGTTAGTCAAGATAGGTCAAACAACAACATGAAAAAGGTCATTCAAGTCATACCAACACTTAGAAGCAAATTTTGGACCAAGTCATGAATACAAACATGGTTCCATTTTTCATCCTAAGTGTGTCTAAGTTGTTTTGTGACCAAACAACAACCACTTGCATTAAGAAGCATGATCACTAAGCATTCACAAGACAATTTAAGCATTTTATGAAAGTAACCACAAATAGAAAATGTATCATTTCATGCTCATGAGTGCAAATGAATGGATTATGCTTATGCTCATGTAATGCAAGTGCAACTATGCAAGCTTAACACTTGGGGTGTTACACGTGACGCTGCCTGACATGGATGGAAGATGACCCATCATGGAGGTCAGGAGTACAGTCGTGCGAAGAGCACTTCTTCACAAAAACCTTATTCGTCCTCTCCCAATCAAGTATCACAAGGACGAGGGTTCTAGAGACATGCTCTTCTGATCGTCAGTGCACATAGGTGCTTGGGATGGAGAAGCTATGGTAGCGGCGCAACAGCGGAAAGATTAAAAAACCTAACTCGAATAGATACGTTTTGGCATTGGCTGATAGACTGTTTATTATATATATAGGGTTGTCCAGCACGATCTTGTATCACGTTTGCGATCTAAACCATTTAGAACTCCTATCCGCAAACTTGAAGCATTTACTCAAGTAGAGCTATGTACCAGAGCAAGCATAATAAGAGCAAACTCAATAATAATACCAAGTGCTTAGTAGATATAAATCAAGTTACAAGAGCCAAGTTCTACAACAGTTGTCTTCTACTTATCTATAAAAAGGTTTTCAATTATTTTATGGCATTACTTTTTACTCATGTCTCACATTCTCTTTACTATTCTTTCTCATATTCGCTTGTTGTCTAGGCCCACCACTACATTGGCTTCTTGCGCAGCTTGTTACTTACATGAGAGCCAAGCTCTCCTCCACTTCAAGAAAAAACACTGACTAGCTTGCTTATAAGATCATTATTTAATTTGCTCTAAGGTGATCTAAGTGAATTGTATGAGGTGCCACATCATACTCAACACAAGTTTCTTGGAGTACTTTTGTTGAGAACTTGGGATAAGAGAATGAATAGAGGAGAGAGAAGAGAAGTGGGTTGTATGCTTAAAACCAAGAACTGGTTGATGCACCCGAGAAACTTTATGAGAGAATTATGTAGATCAATAGCCAACTATTATATGATAGGACTTAATGGGTTGTATAATATATAACAATGGCATAAATTATTAACCATACTTTTAGGTTGTATTTGGTCTAGTTTATAGAAAGTGTTTCTGTTGCCAAAAAACAGAATGCCAACCAAACAGGTGGAACCTGAAGCTACATTCCAAAAGTAACAACTTTCGCGTTGTACAATTTCCATAACACCTTAGATCTGCTTTTGGCATTTGGCTTTTCCAAATGACTAGAAATATAGATGTTTCATAGTTTAAAGGAGATAGAGGGAAGATGTAGGTTTTGATATTATCTCGACCAAACAATTTAATTTTTTCACAATACATAAGTCACAATAATTTTTCTACAGTTCACAGTTTATAGATAAACCCAAAAAAACCCTGAGTTTAGAGACGATTACAAGGCTCCATCCAACCTAGACCACTTAATGGCTGTGTTCTCCGGTCTGGAAAAACCAGACTAGCCGGCTGCTTCTCCTCATAGGTGCACTGTTCATCAACCAGTCGCTACAGTGTTTCTCTCTCACACAACCAGTCAGTTTCAGCCAAGTTTCAGACTAGCGAACGGGGCCATTAAAGCTAGTTACTACTTATTTAATATGAAGAAGGTCATACAACTCCACACCGTCACACCGACAGACCATTAACTTGTCCTAGCTGTTGTCAAAAAAAAAAAAACTTGTCCTAGCGCTTACTTAATTTGTTTAATTTGCATAGGTCGTCTATTAGACAATTCTTAATGGTACATAGAAGTTCAGAACTATCGTTTCCAAGGTTAAATTTTCTACATATGTACATGGAACAATGGAACCCCTTAATAAGCAGCCACCACCTTGCTGGTGCTAGTTAGCTTAGCGCAGTGGCTAGTTCCTAGTGAGAGATGGGAGGAGCGTACCTGCAGCCACTGGATCCCCACAGCCACAAGGCGTCGAGCAAAAATCCTGGCTATTTCCTGTCCAAAACTACCTGCGCCTGGCTCGTCTGTGGTTTCCTCTCCTTGGCTCTCCTCCACCTCCTCTGCTGCTCCCCCGCCGGCACCCAACGAGCGGCGCTCTCTCCTCTGCTCCAGTACATCAACAACACCTACTCCTTCGTCTCAACAGTGTAAGTGATCTTAACGCTCGGATCTTCACATTCGTGTGTGCACAGTCTGAACGCTTGGATCTGTCATTTGCAGTCCAGGTCCTCAATCAGCAGAAGAAACTGAGAGGAGCTGCAACTACGCGGTGGGGAACTGGGTGTGGGCGCCGGGCCACGCGCGGCGGTACAACGCAACCGAGTGCAACGCCAAGGAGAGCCACGACTGCATCCGCAACGGGCGGCCCGACACGGGGTACCTCGACTGGCGGTGGCAGCCGGCCGGCGGGTGCCCGCTGCCGGCGTTCGACGCCGCAAAGTTCCTCTCGGCGGTGCGCGGCAAGCACGTGGCGTTCGTGGGCGACTCCATGGCGCGGAACCAGGCGCAGTCCCTCATCTGTCTCCTCAGCGCCGCGTTCCCGTACCGCCTCCTGTACCGGGACACCGGCCCGGGCCCGCGCAAGCACAACTTCTGGCGGTACGCGTTCCCGCACTACGACGTGAGGGTGTCCTTCTACTGGTACCCGTTCCTCGTCAGGGCCACGGGCAAGGCCGAGGACGAGCGCGTCCCCTACAACCACGTGCACCTCGACCAGCCCGGCGACCGGTGGGCCGCCGACGCCGACACCATCGACGTCGCGGTGCTCGGCGCCGCGCACTGGCTGCTGAACGGCGCCATCTATTACAACGGCAGCGAGGTGATAGGCGCCCACTACGCCCCCGCGGAGATGAATTACACTAGCGTTGGCTACGCGTGGCCGCTGCGCGTGGCGTACCGGGCGTCGGTGGAGCGGCTGATGAGCACCGCCGCCGCCGGGCGGCCACGGACCGTGGTGCTGGCCACGTTCTCGCCGTCTCACTTCGAAGGGAAGTCGACCAACGACCCCACGGCGTGCGCCAAGACGGAGCCGTACAAGGAGGGGGAGAACGACATGGAGTGGATGTACAGGGAGGTGCGGGACATCGTCTACGACGAGGCGAACGCCGCCAGGGCGAGGAACGGCAACGACAGCGCCACGAGGATCGAGGTGCTGGACGTGTCGAAGCTGGCGTCCATGCGGCCGGACGGGCACCCGGGCCTGTACATGCACGACCACCCGTTCGCCAATGGTAAGACGACGCAGGGGATGTATTCCGACTGCCTCCACTTCTGCCTGCCCGGCCCGGTCGACACCTTCAACGAGATATTGCTGCAGATCCTGAGGAAGAGGTGGTGAAAGTGAACTACCACGAATCGGTTCTTGTGGCACATTAAATCTGGATTGTGGCCCGGGCCTGGTTTATTTTGATCTCGTGGGGCAGCAAGTTTTGGTCGGATTGTTCATTCAAATCCTAGTGTTAAATTTTGTATACTTGTACTTGAAAGGGAACTCTCGAAGCGATTAAACCGAATTTTTGTATTACCATACGAGGTGATTCAGTGACTATCATCTTTGCACGTATATATAAGATCTAATTTGGAGCAGCTTGCTCGAGATTGACTGCGATCAGTTGACCTTGATCATTAACTTTAGTGATTCCGAGACTGACAAGTTGAGATTCTTGCAACACTTGCTGCACGGACCGGAGGTCCGGAGGACAGGGATCTCAGTCTCTGCAGACATCGCCCACGCCGCCGGCCACTTCCTATGCGTAGTGCAACATCCGATTTACTTTTGAAACATTCAGATGCAACAGTTGCAAAATACAAAAGAAGACACATGAAACACTTGAAACAAACGTCTGAAACACTTGCGAAAATGACTGAAAACACTTCAAACCATTACAAAACATATGAAACATCGAGATGAAACACTCGTAACAGACATACGAAACACCTAAAATATTTGAAACATATGCTTACAACATGCACGTTATATGCGACATCCAGATTTACTTTTACATCATCCAGATGAAAATATTTGCAACATACATCTGATACAGATGAAATATTTAGAACATACATTTGGAACATACGTTCATAGCCATTGTAACATGTGCAACATCACGATCTACTTTTGCAACATCGATACGAAACACATGCAATATACCTCTGAAACTGTAATTTTCTTACTTGTTCTCCTCTTCTTTATCTCTTTTTTGTTTCTTAAATTATGTACTGGACTACTCTTTACCTTTTGTTTAATAAAATTTCTGTAGGATCTTTGGCCCCTCCACTTTCATAAAAAAACATACCTCTGAAACATCTGAAATATATGTTTACAACATGCGCTTTCAGCGCAACATCTTCTTGCTGCTTGAGAATGGAGACTCATTGGCGTGTAGAGTTCACCGGTGTAGAGCTCGCCGGTGGCGCGGAGCAACCGGCCATGGGGGCGCGATAGCCGTCGAACGCGGCAGTTGGAGCGGAGCCACCCTCTGCTTCTTCAAGTCTAGCGATGGAGCCTTGCGTCGTCGGTAGACCGGCCAAGGGACACCGCAGCCTTGGAGTGGACCGGGCAGGGGGCAGCTGCGGACCACCCACGGGGGCGCGATGGGGCGGCGGTTGGAGCGGAGCCACCCTCCGTTTCTTCGAGCCTGGCGATGGAGCTTCACGTCCAAAGCGTGGTCATGGTGGAGTACGATTGCGGCGCTGCGGTGAAGAGCCTTCTAGAGAATGTAGATAGCAAGATAAGATTGGAGAGGCAAGTGGACAGGAGGATACGACTGTTGAGCCGTTGGGCTGGTGCGGTGGCCCACGAACGCGACCATCTGGCTGATCGGACGGCTGACGGGAGCATTTCCGTTTCTATATGATTTAGACAATAAGGGACTGAAAATGCACCCAAATGCAATGCAAAAATGATACACTACGCACCAAACGATTTTCTATATTCTAATATGTTTATTAAAAAATATATTCTACTATTAAGCATCGTAAATATGAGTTATTTTTATATATCTGGTCAAACTCATAAAAAACTTTAAATTTTAAAAAAAAGATGTATAACTATTTTGTGATGGAGAGAGTACATGAACTGGGATCGTTCCGTTCGTGCATGCCGTGCAGGAGTATAAATGTCCATACAGCCCAAGGCACGGCGGCCCGACACGAAGCACGTAATTTTGGCCCGGACCAAGCATGGCATGGCCCGATGGTCAGCGGGCCTGGGCTGGCCCGGCCCAAGGGAGTAGGCCATGCCTGGGCCGCTGCTCATGCCCATGGGCTGGCACGGCACGGCCCGACCTTCGACGGTCGGCCCGGCAGCGGCCTGGCCTCCCCCCTCCCCCTCCTCACTCCTCCTCCCCTCCCTAAGGCCGGCCTGCTCCCTTAGCCGGCCCACCCCCAGCCCCTGATCCCTAACTCCCTTCCCATCCCCACGCCACTTATTACGTCTCCAATTCCCCATCCCCGCGCCGCTTATCGCATCCTCATCCCGCGTCGCACTACGGCACTAGGCTCGCGCGGACGTGCGTCGCAGTTGCGACCTCGTCTCCCCCTCGCCCCCCGCGCCAAACAGCCTCCTCCTCCACGCCCGCACCACCGACGGCGGCCACCTCCTCGCCCCCCGCACCAACGGCCGCATGCTCCTCCTCTGTGGTCAAAGCCTCCCGTAGTCCCGCGTGGCCGCACCGCAGGCGCTAGCCTCGAGCGCGGCAGCCTCAAGCGGCCGATCTGAGGCCGCTGCCGCCGCCGCCGCCGTTGGAGCACGTGGCCGATCTGAGGCCCCACCGACCGTGCCTGGTGCCTCTGCATCGCCTCATCATCGCGCCTCTGCATCGCCTCCCCGGCCTCCTCCATGCGCTCACGTGTCTCGACGCCATCACCGCCTCTGCGTTCTCCTCCACGTCGTCGCCTCGAGCGCCACCATGGCCGCAGGACAGCGCCTCGACCTCGTCCTCCGTCCTCTCTCCCTTCCCCTGCTGATGTGGGCCTCGGGCTGGCCTGGCCTGCTAAAAAGGCCGTGCTTTCTGGGCCGGCCCGGCACGGAAAGTGGCTCGACGGGCTGTACCTGGGCCGTCAGCCAGGCACGGTGGACTGGGGCGGCATGGGCCGGCGGCCCATCGTGCTCTACCGTGCCGTGCCCTACCGGGCCGGGCCGGGCGGCCCGAATGGTCATCTTTACACAGGAGAAGATGTTCTCCAACCACCTCCACTTCTGCTTGCGTGGACGGGTCTACACGCTCAACGAATTCTTATAAGCTTGGCAAACTAAATCTCTAGAAGTCTCTCTTAAACTCATTTTTTAAATTATCATTTGAAGGATCATTTGAATAAAAATTACTCTCGTACCTTTTTATCTTCTAACAATTTTTTTATATATTTTGTACATACTCTAGAGAGTTAATCCCGCTCTCTATCTTTAAGTAGCGAGAAATCTAAAATAAAATATGACAATAAAAAAAAGTCATTAGAGGATATCTTTTTACGAAAATCTCCGATCAATAAAAAAGACACATAGAGCCTCTTGAAGTTGATCTAATCTCCCTAAACAAACACCTTGCAAAAGCAGGAAACTCTTACCTCGTGCGCGGCTACAGGGGGCGGGGGGGGGGGCAGGGGGCAAAGAAAGCAACTTCCATCAAATATACTGGCATCTTTCAATAGACACAGCTAACTTTGTTTTAACTATTATACGATACGTACTCTCTAGTGGCACAATCTTGTTTACACGTATCTCAGAGTAACTTGCTCGAAGTTGATTACAACAATTTGGAGACTGCCTTCTTGAGATTCTTGGAAGACTTGAATATAATTAGGTGGACGAGTCTGTCGAGGGATCATGGATCTCAGTTTCTCTGAATACATATTCTTTGCGCGCATAGATCTCCATGCATCATCGTTCAACTAGCATTTAATTTGGTCATAGATTCGAGTGAAATAAGGGCGCTCCAGTCTTCTAGACTCTTCTGATCTCTGCACGGTGCCATTTTTTGACCTGGGATGTACGGTGTACTTAGAGGTTTGTTACTGTGCTTGAAAGGAACCACCGGTTCCTACCATGAGAATTATTTGCGGCCGCTGATGATTAGGAGAATTAATTAATTGTGTTCAAGGGCAGTTCAGTACTTTTCCTCCCGTACATGACAACTCCCTGAATCCCTGAGGCAGGCTTCTCGACGCGAGTATTAGCGACAGGCGGACGCCGGAGTACCGGACGGAGGACTTCGCGAGTGCCAGCGCCCGCCGCCCGAGCCGCCCGAGTAGCACCTCTGCCGGGTGCAAGCCGTCTCCCCACCTGGCGCCTGGTCGTTGAGCACCCAAGCCCGAGCGACACCCTCTCCGGCGGCCCGCCCCACATGGCCGCGCAAGCTGCGCACCGTCCCCACTGCCTGCCACCGCCGCGGTTCGCAGACAGTGTTGCTTTCGTCAGCATCGTCCTTCCTGCTATGGTGAGCAGCCCTGCCTTCCAAGTTAGCAATCTTGCGGCCACCGCATCCACCAAAGGCTGCTCCACGTCGCGACTCAGCCGCTTGATGGACTCGGAAACTATCTGGCATGGGAAAGCGCTCTGCACCACCGCGATGTCCTCATCCGAGCATTTATTTGCTTTTCATACATGAACCATTTATTTGTTGATTTGTTCGTTGAAGTCTATCTCACGAGGTTACCCAGCTGGCTAGAGCCTTGCCGCCGCCCAACGCCAGAATGCAGCCGCTGCTCCTGCAAGGGAGGTCCACGATTGCACGGCTCGAGCTGGGGGCGAATGTCTAATCGGCCATGGTTGGCGCACACCTACTCGGGCTGGCGTTGGCCAAGGCGCGGAGGCAGGGTGTCGTCGGACGACCGTGGTGTTAGGCTGGCCAGGCGGCCGTGACTCAGGGTTCGCGAGATGGGCAGCGGGCAGCCATGGCGGCGGCCGCGGCGGCCGAGCGGCCTGGTGGGCGACTAGGACAAGAGGAGCTCCAGAGAGAGCGCACACGGGAGATGACGAGGAACTCCTGAGATTATGAAAGTGCTATTGTACATTTGTACCCATGGAATTAAATTTAGAACCGGTTTCTAGCCCACGTATTATAGGTTTCTCAACTTAAGTTTCTCTATCTATATTGGTTCTTCTTATTTTATAATCATTAGATTTATTCAAATAGATGGCTCTAGTTCTTTCAAAGCACTGTAAAATTTCTCATGTACTTAAATCCAATTTTAGCCATGACACCAGCCACGCACATGTTAACCCACGATATTCCTCCAAATCTCCAGCTAGGCTCACCACGCGTAGGTCATTAAATGGTACAAAATCTACGAGGTAATTGGGCTCCAAATCATGCAATTAACGTAGAGCTCGAGCAGTGA